TTTCGGGTAACGTCCGATAGCTTGAAACCTTCATTGCACCCGCATACATCTGGTACTATGCAAACTCCATTTTCACAGGGCGGAGAACAAATAGGTCTACATTCTAATGGATCTGACCGCACTGTTTCATAATTGGAGCAACATCGTTCAACCTCGATGGTGGAACACCTTATCTGCAACCAATTGATAAAAAATTATTCAAGTACAAAGAACAGCCCGACATTCCCACCATTTCTTTCGGAAATTATTTAAGCATTTTTTGTTTTTCTTTAAGTACTGAAATTTACCAACATAATTAACATTCTACAGAGTGTCTCCGTGTCAGTGCGACACCCACTTTTCTCAAAAAACGAAAGGTTATAAAAAAATTTAAATGTTAACCCCACGATTTTCCAAAGGATCTAAAATAGTAAGTGTTGGAAATATTTTTAACGTCACCGTAATATGTAATTGAGTATCAATTTATTGTTTAAACGAGAACAACCAGATACCATTCGAATTTTTATTGTTATTTTGCCCGCATTTATCCCACAACAAACAAAACAAAATTTCAAATAATTACATAATTTGTAAACAACGACGTACTCAAGAATGAAAAATCCGTTGCATACACATCATACATTAATACATAATTTATAGAGTAAATATTCTGTTACAAAACATGAGAACCCACCTTTTCAACCGTATATTGTCCTTTTCCATACCAACAATTATGGTCGCAATTTTCCAGTTTCGTATAGGGGATTTCATGGCTGAAAAAAATAAAAATCAAACTTCGCGTTTAAAAACAAAGTATTCAGATATTATATTCAGATGCTATATTATGGAAAATCATGTAACATAATCAACTTAGAGATATTTTTAACGTTATACACCATTAATGCTTATTTTTAATCTGTGAATATCGAAGGAAAATATGGGGGATTATGAAAAATTCGTATACCTCACGACGCGTGTGCATATGCCATTATCCCATGTACGTCCGATTGAAACTGCTGCAAAAAGGCAAACTAAAACTGAGTATATCTCCATCTAGAAAATTACAAGGCACAGTTATGAAACGGTGTAATTAAACCTTAACTTAACCTTATTTAACTTCCTAGGTCAGTCTGTGTATATTAGAAATTCAACCAAACTATTTTATGTGTTGTAAGTCTATCGATCCTATTTTATTTTAATAATCCGCTTGAACAATTTCGTTTCTATTCATTAAATTGTACTCAGAAAACCGATTCAAAATGTACACCCAGCAAAAAAAGTTTACATTAGCAGCTTACAACGAGTATCGACGGTCTTAAATACATCCACTGGTAAGTAAAAACGCGAAACTGTGTAATCGGACTTGTCTCCCTTGATATAAAGCATAAGAACGATTTTGGAGGGGGATCCAATTTATCATATATTATGCTTCTTCCTGTAATATTACGGTCACAAAGATAAACGAAGAGGATGTGGATGCGAGGAACGCTTTTTTGATAAACGTTTTCTTCTATCACTCCATGGCGTATTGGCAAATTGTCCTGATTGTTTATTTGCAAAAACTGTTCATTCTAAACTACTTATCGTGAATTAAATATTTATAACGCTTACATTTTTAATCCAAATAATGTAATAGTAAGTTAAACGTGATTTCAAAGTTTAAATACCGAGCATGCTCTTTGGGACTTAACATCGACAAAAGACTTACTGAGAACCAAAACACACCCGATTTGAAAGGATATAATTGAAAAGAAGATATAAGCTACTTATTAAGTATGAGGAAATCTCTCTATTTTAAGTAGTATTGTCTGATTAACAGATCGAAATTTTCAGTAGTTTTTCTTTGTATGAATCTAAATATAAAATTAGCCTATAAGGATGAATGGAACCGTATGACAGGTTTGTATCCGTCGAATTTTAGCGCACAACCAAGTCTCAATGAAAAGGAAATATTACAAAACTACTCCGCGCGACTTGTGTTAGTTTTATTAACCTTTTATTTTATTAAATTCATTAGATTTTGTTTTTGTTCCGACTGTCCAAATAACTTCTTTCAATTAATTTATCTTTATGTAAGGTATCGGTTGAGATAAAAAAGTCAGTGTCACTAGCGGGATTCGAACCCACGACCTTCGGCTAAATACGCCGCTGCTCTACCACTTGAGCTATCGTGACCTCGATCCACTCTGACACCAACTCTCCATCTCTACCTCAAAAAAGATTAATCAATTGAAAGAAGTAATTTGGTCAATAAATTTCTAAATATAATGGATTATTAGTTAAAACGTACCTTGGTATTTAAATTTTCAATGGGCACACAAGAATATCTTTAGCATTTATTATTTTATCTATCCTGCTAATAAGAATATTTCATAATCCTCGGAAAATTCTCCTGCTATTTTGTATATACCTACAAAATCTGCCAATTACGGTATTTTGCATTATGCGATAAAAGACCTACATTGCCAAACTAGAAATATCGAATGAAGTTTTGCTTCAGTGTATATTAGGCAAGAGCCTGAAACATCTAGTTAATTTTGTATATTTGTATGTACAAATATGTATGGAAAATAAAACTTATTGTTCTCCTTGAATATTTTGGATCACGGCATGGTTCTGACGAAAAAGCTAATTCAGTTGTTACTGCCAAGCTTTCGCCTTATTTTAACGTCATCATCAGAGTCTATATTAATTACATATTTTGAAAACATGTTTGTACAGTTTATTAAAAAAATATATAACTGCATAGATCTTAAATATGTCTACAAATTAACATAATTAAGGTTTTCACAGACGATTTCAAATTTTTTTGAAGAACAATTCAGTCCCAACATTGCCAAGGATTGTAAGAGTATTGCAACCTTATAGTTTGCATCTTTGTCCAACGATAATTATTATCTTCTTCAGCGTTGAAACTTTCTGTCTTCTTATGTTAGGAAAACCAATAAAAAATGGAATAATTAAATATATTTGACGGTGTTGTGATCAGCGAACACATGTTGAACCACCGTTCGGTTAATTATGAGTCCGTCTAAACTTGCGTTTTATTCTTTTTTAATTTACCTAAACGAGTTTCGACATATTCAGTGAGGAACTGACTCTTTTGTTGGGTCCATCGATTGACTATAAGGGAGTTTGTTTATAAGAGCATTTAGATTATACGTCGTTGTGCTGCAATTGTGTGTCGGCGTGAGTAGTTAGATCGGTTGCGATGGGCTTTTTGTATATTTGGAATTCAATTGTATTGTCCATTTTAGAAAGTATTAATTATTACCCATTACCGGAAGCCGCTAGCGACAACCGACGGAGCCAATGGTTTATAAAGGTCAACAAGATGGACAGTTCATCACTGAAGGTGTCGAAACGCTTTTTAAGTTGGTCAAAACAGAAACAAAAACCCGAGTGTAGACCGACCCAATAGGTAAGCAAGTACTGGTTGTTCACCGATCACAGACCGACACCCACCATCAAATACAGTTAATCTTTAAGTAAGGTATTGATTGAGATAAAAAGTCTGTGTCACGAGCGGGATTCGAACCCACGACCTTCGGCTACATACGCCGCTGCTCTACCACTTGAGCTATCGTGACTTCGCTCCACTCGGACACTAACTTCCCATCTAAACGTACAATCTTTCGAATTTTCCCTCCTTTTTGCTATTTTTCAAATGTCGTGTAATCTATTTGAATCTCGGCGACAAATGAAAGAGAGCTTTAATGCAGTATACTTTGTTTTGCTTATTAAATCGATTAAGTTTCGTGGTCCAATTGACCAAATAAGTTCTTTTCAATTAATTAATCTTTGAGTAAGGTTAAGATAAAAAGTCAATAGAAATGATAAATGATGGAGTGAGTGTGGTGTTCAATCCTTTTAAAATATAGTTCCTACTCTCAGTAAGTACTATCTAAGTACTACTTACTGTGGGTAGGAACTATCTTTTTAAAAAGGATTAACAAAGTCAATGTCACGAGCCATCTCAACCAATACCTTACTTAAAAAATAATTAATTGAAAAGAAATTATTTGGTCAATCGGACCGGGAAACCTAATCGATTTAATAGTTAATTGTTTAATTCTCATTGGTTTTCTCAATTTTGTAAAATTGTAAAAATTATATAGGGAGTTTTACTTCTGTCCCTTCGTTAATTTGTTAAAATTAGTCTATTATTTATTTCATTTTAGCAGTTTTTGGAAAAAACCCGAGATAAGTCAAATTTTACTTTTTGTCTAGTTTTTCAAATTTTGTTCTAACTCAACAGGCTAGGAATAAAGATGTTTCAACATAATAATTTGTATTATTGTTAAATTGAAAATTAAATTAAACTACATATTGGGTATTAACTATATTAATTATTAAATAGTAATAAAATTGTATCAACTATAAATTTTATAGAATTGTAATTATTTAAAATTATATATACTTGTAGGTAAAGTAATAATGTCATTACTTTATGAAAATGCAATTCTTGTAATTATTTTGATAATTTGACCCCCCCCCCCATGAACGATCATTATGGTCATGATGTAAATGTCATTAAAAAACACAAATTATCTTATAATTCACTATTTTATAAATAACCTACTCAATAAAGACCACTATTAGTAATTTATTTTATCGCATACCAGTGTATCCACTAGGTTTCTCAACAACTGCTCAACGCAGAAAAAAATCCAACACAATTCACTTCCCTAATTACGGATAATATCGCAAAATAATTGGCTTTTAAACACGTTGGCCATGGTATGTTGTAAGATCATAAACAATCTGGCATAATTATTTCAAAAGTAAGTTTTTGTGAGGGGTACAATTGAAGAATTTATAGCGAAGGTTGCTCGTTTGATATCAGAGTGAACACATAAGCGCAAAAAGGTTTGGTTTTTACTAGGAAATGTTTCTCCTGAGTGGCCGGAATATTACGAGGAGAGTATGAACAACAATATATGATAAATTGGTTCCCCTCCAAAATCTTAATAACGCGTGGGCAGTGTGTATGTTTCCTATCGACGAGGGGACAACACCGATTACTCAGTTTCACATTTTTATTTGCCAGTGAACGTACTTATTCACGATATCATTTTTATTGGGCGTAACAGTAAATAATTCTAATACAATTTATATTATTTACAAAGTTAATTTCAAATTCAATAGTTAAAAATTTTTGTTAAAATGTAAGAGTTGTTCCTACCAAAATTATTTCAAATATGTAATGTGTTGTCAAAACATTTATTGTCCACCGAATTTCATAACAAAATCGGTGTGATTATAATCTGTAACCATACAGCATCAAAGCCGTGTTTTTTTTTTCAGATGAAATTGGAATTTGTATTTGTTTGCATTTTTGCCACGATATCATTTGGCGATTCATCAAAAAACGGCATCTGTCAACGTACCAATAGGTATGTCTTAGCTTATGCGATTCTACGGTAGGCCCTGTTTTGAAATGTAAAACAGACTAACAAATAAATGCTCTAATATCATTACTAAATAAGGTCTAATGAATTAAAACATAAGAAGGTAAAAATTTCTCTGCGTTTTTTTTTTTGTTTCAGTCATTACGTTACATATAGGGATAGCAATTTACAACTTGTTCCATACCGACATAAAATATGTCATTTTCGTTGTTATTATGAAACCAACTACAAATGGGAGATAGTGACTAAAATAATTGTAAGTAGTCGTGTTAATTAGAATTATAAATTTACAGCATATATTTTTTAAACATTGACACGACAACGGTTGTTTGAATGTATGGTTGTAGTGAACAGTGGGTAAACTCAGAAATTGTAAAAATCGAGTTAAATACTAGAAAAGTAACAAAATCACGTCAGAAAGCTGGGCAAATGTTGAGATAATCAGAACAGTATATTCTCGGAAAATTTAAATCGACACTTAGTCTGGAATAAAATTTTAAGTTTTTTCTAATTTTTTTCTAGATCACAGATAAATGTTGGCATGCCTCAGTCGTCTACACTGGAATACTTAGGTTCATTGTTTATTCTACTGTAGTATATATGTCCCAACCATGTTATTTGTTTGCATGCTATCTTCACAATTGAAAGACTGCTCCAAAGACCTGTCTATGTTGTCATATAGGCTTCTAATTATTGTTTTGTGTCAATTGCGGAAGAATAATAATGTTCTAAACCGTCCTTCTACGAATTCTTAACATTAATCCTTTTAAGGTATATGTTTTTTTTTTACAATATATACAATTACCTTCCATTGGGTAACAAGTAAGAAAGGACAATGGTAACAAGTAACCGAAATTAGTCAGGATGAGAGTTTTTATTCGAGGATTTATATTGGTTAACTTGTATGAAATTGACGATAACGGGAGTGGGTTAAATCTTTGACAAAAGGCATCTTGTACTGTAGAGGCAGTTTCGGTGGACACCTAAAAGGGAGTATCACGGATTTCTTTTAGGATTACGACATGGGCTCTTCGGATGCGGAGGATTCTCCAGTCCATAAGTCCATAACAGCTTCACTACTGTATTATGAAGCAGCATTTTGTTTAAGACAGGTAATTTCTACAGATCTATAACTTTTCATCCCTTCTTATCGTAAAGTCGTGTGTGGGTAGTCCATGTCAGACGATTTTCAATATATAGTCCTTGACGGGAGGGTTTTTTGATTGAAGTAAACTGGATTACATTTGATAAGAAAAAGGACTGATTGTTTACGACCTGCGAACCGCGACCGGTAATTATTTATTATGGATATTTATTGTTGTTTATAGCTCCATTAAGCTTAAGCAGGTTTTTCAAGGAAGACAGCCGTCCTTCAGGCTTTTCCTCTTCTAGGAGTAGGAATCTCAGCCAACATAAACCTTCGCAACAGAGGACATGAACTTCTCTTCTTCGTATCAATATCTGCACAGATTTTTTTCAGCTCAGAGTGTACATTCCGCAGTCCGAATTCTTGTTGATGCTGGATTTTGGTCGGTGAACTCATGCTTAACCAGCACTGGGTCACTTATTGATCAGTCTACACTCGCGGGTTTGTTGAAATACTCAAAGACGTTTCGGCATTGCGCCATTGAGTGAATAACTGAATTTCAGCATACCAGTCCTGCCATAAGTTCTGTTACAAGAAAAAGTCCATTAGGGAATAGAGAAATTTGATAATCTGAAAAAGAAATTTATTTTAAAAAATCCAATATTTTTAAGATTGAAATAAAATAATATTACTCGAAATGACCACCTTTTGCCTTCACACAAGCTTTTAGTCTTCGGGGCCAATCATCTATGGCAGAACGCAACACGTCTCGAAGAAATTTCTCAACTGCTTTTAACAGAGCGGACTTGAGGCTCTCTAAATTGGCGTGTTTCCTGTGGCAAGCCATAAGCTCAAGATGGAACCACATCTTGTAGTCCAGAGGATTCAAATCTGGGCTTCCCGAGGGCCAATCTGAAGCCTTAATGAATTCCGGAACATTTTCCTCCAGCCACTGCTGAGTTGTTCGAGCCTTGTGCGCAGGAGCTGAGTCCTATTGGAAGACCCAATGAGTTCCGGAAAAAAGAGTAGTGCTTAAGGGCTTTACTACTTTCTCAAGGATGTCTTCTTGGTAATTTTTCGCCCTTGTTTTGACTCCTTGCTCACAAAAATGGAGTTTTTGGATGATGGCCTCTTTCTACCCTTCCGATTTTTTCCTGAGCTTCTAGAGAACTTCTAGTATAAACCTTGTCATTTTGACGGTAAATTTTTCCTCGATGGTAAAAATTTTTTCATCGGTAAACAAGATGTTTCGATGAACTCCATCAGCGTACCGTGTCAACAATGCCTTGGCTCTTTCGAATCTAATTTTGTTTTAAAGATACTGTAAGCCTTTGTCCTGCCATTCTACGGTAAGCACTCGTCTTTTATGATGCGCGACATTGATCGGGAAGAAATTCCGATTTCTCTGGACAATATTGTTTGTTTTCTTAGCGGATTTCTTCGAATTCGGTTTTCAACAGCTATGATGGCATTTTTCGTCCTCACAGAGCGAGGACGGCCGGACCTTGGTTTGTCTTTAATAGATAGAGTATCTTTGAAGCGATTTATGGAGCGCCACACAAACATTCGATTTATTCCTAACGATTTCTGCGTCTTGAAAATCTCTGATTTTGAAATACCTGCCTTGTGCAGTGCGATGATGGCATGACGGTTTTGTTCAAGGGGCGTTCCATCTTGACGTTATTAATTCTCAATAACAACTGAGTAATAGAATTTAGCATTATATCAAAGGTAAACAATAGACAAGAGAGCAAGGTTCGCCGGGCGTTTGTTTGGGATTATTTTCAAAGTGAATCATTGTAACAGAACTTATGACAGAACTAGGAATTATTCCTGTATTAACACGTCCTAGATTTAGTCCTAACGCGTCTCTGTTTGGTAATGTTTCCGTTATTTCTTCAATGGTCCTTTGATGAACGTTTTCAACATTTCATTGAACCGAGTACTTATTTTTAATTCAGATGGATCCACGTTTTAGGCAGTTTGGTAAGCCACGAAAGTGTGCGGGGTCGATTGGTTCCCTTCCTCGGTTAATTTATCAGCCTCTTCGGTGCCCTTCTGCCCTGAAGTTAACTGGAGGAAGGTTATTTTGCGGAGAGTGAAGGTATTATTAGATTTTCCTAGGTTAATTTTTTTACACTGACACTCTTTTAAATTTTTAAATGCGGTTTTGCAAATGTTTCGACCCCACTTTTCACTGTATACAAATTTTTCCCCATCTTAATATTTTAAATATTGTATTGTTGATTTGATTGCAGACAAGGACGGAAGTGCGAACGGAAAATTTTTGTTGTCCCGGATACGAAACAGTGCAGAACACACCGTTGAAATGTAAACCGAATTGTTCGCCAGAATGTAAAAACGCGAAATGCGTACAACCAGGATTATGCCAATGTTATGCAGATTTCGAACCGCATGTCATCAAGCCAAACGTTTGCGTACCTGTGTGCAAACATGGTTGTCAAAACGGTGAGTGCATAGATGTGAACGTATGTCGTTGCAATCCCGGCTACATAGCGGAGAACAACAGTTCCTGCCTACCTTGGTGCAGAGAACTTTGCGTCAACGGTGCATGCATTGCTCCTGAACACTGCCTATGCTTTCCTCATTATGCTAAAACAAATAACGAATACGTGTGCGAATCGACGTGCGATTTCGAATGCATAAATGGCGAATGTACTGGAGTCAACGAATGTTCTTGTAATGAAGGATATAGAAAAAATGACACGACATCGAACGTCTGCGACCCTGTCTGTGAATATTGCGAGAATGCCATCTGTGAAAGTCCGGGCCGGTGCACATGCTTCCATGGATATGAGCCCTCGCAAGATCCTCGGGTATGCGTTCCAGTTTGCAAGGACGGCTGTGTAAACGGTTATTGTTCTGATCCAGATAAGTGTACGTGCTTCAGCGGTTATCAGTCTTCTGCAAACAATTATTCACAATGCGTCCCTATCTGCTCAAAAGAGTGTAAGAACGGAAAGTGCGTTGCTCCTGAGGTTTGCGAATGCTTTCTTCATTATGCTAAAACAACGAACGAATACGAGTGCAAACCGACATGCAGTTTTGAATGCATAAATGGCGAATGCACTGGAGTCAACGAATGTTCTTGTAATGAAGGATATACAAAAGATAACACGACATCGAACGTCTGCGACCCTGTCTGTGAATATTGTGAGAATTCGTTCTGTGAAAGTCCCGACCGATGCAAATGTTTCCACGGATACGAGCCTTCGCGAAATCCTCATGTATGCGATCCAGTTTGCAAGGAAGACTGTTTAAACGGTTATTGTTCCGATCCAGATGTGTGCACGTGCAACAGCGGTTTTCAGACTTCTGAAAACAGTTCTACAGAATGCATCCCAATTTGCTCAAAAGAGTGTAACAACGGAGAGTGCGTTGCTCCTGAGGTTTGCGAATGCTTGTCTGGATTTACGTTAAAATCGGGATTTTGCGAACCTGTTTGTCAGGATGAATGCATCAATTCTTATTGTGCGGCTCCGGACGTTTGCGAATGCTATCCCGACACGGTCAAAATGAACGAAACCCTTTGCGTCTCAGTTTGTCAGGAAAACGCTACTCTCGATTGCTATCACGTGGTTGAGAATGTGGACGAATTCAGTATGCGTCTGACCGGAGAGGAAATGGTTTTTCTACCCAAAAACAAGAAGGCGCTGACCCTTCATGCTGTATGCGAGCAGTTTGTCGATACGTACAGCGAAGCTAACATATCGTCCGGTGTACCTTTCGAATGTTCGACCGATCGAAACAGCGACATAGTACACACCTACTGTAAACTGACGTCGGAAAAATACGATCCTGTAATTACGATGAATGTTACCGATTTCAACGAAACGTTACCCATAAGTATGAATTTAACTCTTATATACCCGAAGATCGGAATTTCGACTGGAACATGTGAACTTTGCTTCTGCGATGAGTTTCTGTAAGTATCGAGTTATAAAACACTTAAATAGGTTCCAATAAAACTTGTTTAATTTCAGGTATTTAAATGAGGATCGTTCATTTATTCATCTATGCCCATGTGAGCACGTAAAACAAAGTAAGCTATCATTAACATTCCACAACTCGAACTTATTAATTAATTTTTATTGGTGAACGTTTATTTTTGTTTGCTATGTATAACTTTAATCTGTAGGTTCTCTTTATATTCTTATTAATTTTTTTCAATTTTACTTTGAACTACTTATTTTAATTATCAATTGTTTAACATAACTTTTGGACCATAGATATTTTAAACTGTCATCTTGGTTTTATTTTTTTAAATTTTCTTATCGTATTGCTATCTTTTGATTTGTTCCCTCTATTCAAACCCCGGCTATTTTTTTCCAAACCGTGTTGATGTTTGTCGGCCATGTTTTGACTTTTGATTCAAAGCCCGGGTATGTGTCCGGCATGTAGAGAAACGTTGCTCGATGTACCTTAATTAACCGATGGGTATCATTCCTTGGCTCCATGTAGGGAACAAGTATTACGGGAAACAAAGCTGTTTTATTAATAGTTTCTGCATAGTTTGATTGGTTGTATATTGAGAATAAATGGATTTATAAGAGTGAATGTGTAGAAACGTTGCTCGATGCACCCCCACTTAATTGAAGTGTTATTCCTTACTGACAGCGAGTAGGAAAGCGAGATGATAATTCTTCTAGAGCCTGGCAGCAAGTATTTAGGTCCTATGTTCCGATTTTTGGAGATAACATAACTTTTTTATTGTTTATTGCCCTGATCAATATCTTTTGTGTCTATTGATAGTGAATGTATTTATTAGCGCGAACATCTAATGTGAGAGGGCCGATTTTGAATATTGACCATGAATTAGACTAGTTAGTGTATGTAACGTTGTTTATATGTGTAAAGGATATTAAGTTAAGAGTTGAGTGAGAGGGTGAGCGTTGTTTATATTAAAAATGCATGCGTAATGAGCTGAACTGACCTGGCTCTAGCTTGGGGACCCCTAAGACAGAGATCTGAACCACCAAAACACCCGATTGGCAACCCATAAAACCAGGAACACACTTACCTGATGCTACGCCATGCGACGCTACCCGACGCCTCGCTACGTTTTGGTGGGGTGTGCACATCTATCCGACGCAAGCCCACGTCGCGTACAGTCCACAGCGTTTATCACAATAATCACTATCACAATCGCAACGCATCTTTTGTTCTTAATGCACTATTTTGAGCAAAACCTTGTAATAAATTGTTAGTTAAATTTTATGAGCACAACCATCTAATAAATTGTTTGTTAAACTTAATTGTTTTGAATAAAGTTACTCCTAACCATCTAATTAAACAATTTTTATAAAAACCTATGCATTTTTTATCTCATTTAATTTGGTTTACATTAAAATAACATGTTGTAATTAATATAACGACTTAATATGTACTTAGTTTGAAATAAACTACAAAAAATATGAGTGTCCTGTTCTAATGCTACCCGACATTAGAAAATGGTGTAATTTTACGAGCAAAACTATGAAATAAATTGTTTATTAAATTTTATGCGCAAAACCGTGTAATAAATTGTTCCAATTTTAGTATATGTACCGCCGAAGCGAGTACAATAAATTGTTAGTTAAATTCATTATATCAAAAAATCGTATTCCGGTGTTTTGATTAATTTTCTACCAACCCATTAAAATTAATTTTTTAAATAAAAACGAATTAATTTTTAATCACAGTTAATTTGGTTTATTTTAAAATAAATATGTTGTAATTAATATAACGACAATAATACATGTAGTTTGAATAAAAATATGAGTGCCCGGTTCTTTTGTCTTCGACTGTACTCGATGCGACCCGACGAAAATCTGGACAGTGGGACCGCAGAGCGTTGGGTAGATGTGCAAGGGGTAATGCAACGTTATGGAAAATCGGAGTTTGGATTTGCATCGGATAGCGTCGCATGGCGTACCATCGCATAAGTGTGTTTCTGGCTTAAGCCTTCGATTCTGCACATTGTGTATATTTTTGCAGAATTGGGCTTATATAAATAAATCAAATTTACTGGTCGGCCTTTTGGCATGAATCTTTTTGTTTAACACAATAAATTGGATAAATTGTTTCACTGCCACTCAACTGTTTTTAGACTTTTCTTAATTTACATGTTATATTTAACTTTTTTTTTTTTAGTTCAACAGTGGTTCTTTTGTTTCAGCTTCAATACTGTGGTATGCATTAATTATCACAGCAAGCACGTTTGCACTTTTAATAACTATTTTCGTTATGAAGAAATTTCTGTCGATAAAAAAACAAAAAACATCGCTTAACCTAGGTGAGATATTTTTTAAGTGTTTCCTATTACAGATTGATTTGTCGATTATTTGCCTGATTTTTAATTAAATCCTCCAGTTTCAGAAAACAGCGACATGGAGTTATAACAATGGGCGACAATAGTATATGTTTGTATAAATTATTATGTTATTCGTATGTAACTATGACTAAATGTAATTTTTATTTGAATAATTTTGTTTTTTATTTTACATATAAATTTGCGTTAAATATTTAAAATATTTTTATTCTATTTACAAATGTTACGGCGGTTAAAAGAAAAGGTAAGAGGATGTGTGAAATTCGTCTTGCCCGAATCCTTAAGTGCAAAACTTGAAAAATAAATTATTATGTTTTTTAGAGAAATCAAAATATTATTTTGATATCTTATGATTATATATTGTTATTTAGAATGAAATTGACCAATGTTAAGAATAAGAATATAAGAATATTGAAATGACTGTCTATTGAAATTAGATCTCATAAATCTTTTTAAATCCTTTTCAATGCACTTCATTAATATTTTAATCATTTAAAATTGACCAAATAACTGTCGTTTTATGTACTTATGACAAATGGATTATTCCAACATTGCCTAAATTAGTCAGTTTCCAAATGTTGCGTTTTAAAATAAGGTAAATTCAATAAAAAATGTCAGATATTTGTAATCAAATGTAATAAAAATATATACAAACCATTTAATTCCACTACTTGTTGCCATTTTCTATGTATTTTTTAAATTCACTCCTCTCAGACCTTCTTTTGTATTTAAGCGATGAATTCCTACATGTATTACTGCAATGGAGAAAATATATACTGTTACATAGCCCAAAATAAGTAGAAATTTGAAAGGGCAAAAACAGACAGATATGTGTTGGGGTAGGACATTCCAGCCAAGCTCCAGCAATGTTTGTTGCGTCCTGGTAGCTAATCCAATGTTGGTTTGATTTAGTCAATTTCTGACTTTAATCGACCAATTGTGTATATGTTAGAATCAACGGTTTGGTTGGACGGAAAAGCTCATAACGAAACATCCCCTTCAAATGCCAATTAATGCATATCACCTTGCGATACAATCCCACTTTTGGAGTTGTTAGCGGTGGGTCTCTGCGTTTTTCATTGGAATTTTCTTTTTGAACATGAATATTGGACGGAAAAAGCACACAATAAAGCAGGTCATTCAATCCCACCAAATGGTCATCACTTTCTTGTGATGTAATCCGGCTTTTGGGAGTTGTTAACAGTGGTTTGCTGCGTTTTTCCCAGAATTTTCCTCTCTGCATATTGTTATAAAGAAACCATTTTTCATCCCCAGTCATCCATCTTTATAAAACGGGGTCGTTTACATTCCACCTTAGAAGGGATAGAAGTCGAATCCAGTCAATCACTCTCACATATCCAACTGCTCTCAAATGCGTCTAAATGCTTGTTTTAAAATATGTTAATTCCTCTGTGATGTCTCGAGCCGTTGAGTTTGGGTTATTTGTGGCAAAAAGTTGAATTCGGTCATCATCAACGGTTGAAGGACCGGAGCGCTTTGCTTACCAAAGTTCCTTCTGAACAAGGAAACCACTTATGGACGGTGCTTAATCCGTTAATTCATGTTATGTACACCACATTATGTACATCACAAACTTTCCTAACAGTCTGAGCTGCCGTTTCCCGTTTGCAGTTGGGAAAAACCAAAACTCTTCGTACAATTACGAGATCTCGAACGAAACTTATTTCAATCACTTTTCAGAAATAGTAAACAATAAAAGACTAAATAAAAATTGCGTCCAATACAACATGGATAAAATCGAATTATTGAAAAACTCCACGTATTGTTTTCTACAAGCCAATACTTTATTTTGATATGTATCACTTGTAATAGGATAGTTTATTGGAATAATATATGTTGTACATATCGTTTATTTCATATTTCATGTGCTAGCGATCGCTATGCTATACATTTACATAATTACAGTCTAAACGTTTTTACAAATATGCAATACGGTTGAGTTGTCACAAAACCAACTATGGCTAGAAATTGTATTCGAATGACTGTTCTTCTGGTAGCATAACATCTTTGTTTTATTAACATAACAGTACCAAAAAATCTGTTCTTTTTGTTTTTTATCAAAATATTTTAATTCTACTTTCAAAAATGGGCACTAAGAAGCACCCGCTTTTCAGTCTTACGTTGTACACAGATTAAAACAGTAGCCGTCGATTGGAGAGTTTTTAGTTTTAGTTTTGTGAAGCTTTTCCGGTCGTTTTATAGAACATCCGCAGTTTGATTATTCATCATCCTGATCTGCGTCTGTGATTATTCAAAGCGCCTGATCAGACCGACGATGAAACCTCGGACCAATACGTGTAATTTATTATTTCCAATTAATTATTTTCAATATAATTTTGATATAACAACATGTTAAAAACTTTAAAATTAATATTATCAATATTTCCAACCGACAGAACTATTTGATTATGGAACGAATTGTAGTAACACATTCAACATATCCCTTAAGTTCGGTGTTCAACGACAATCACCATTGACTTAATGGGTTTTCTTTAACAATTCGAATTTATAAATGTACAAAACACCTTTTTTTCGAAATAGTACCACCTCCAACGAGGAAAGGCACTGGAACCACAAACGAACTCTAGGCCCGATACGATAATTTTCTATGTAATCGTCTAGGTATAAAAAGCGAGAGAACAACATCAAGTTATAAAAAATAAAAGAAAACAAATACAGATTTTCTTTTCGTGAAATATTCCATAAATTCAGACATTCTGATGATTTTTTTATGTTGTCTGTCATGATGAACTGATATCAATGGAAATTCTTTCACACTAGATCCTATAAAATCAATACATAAAATTTAATGCAACTATAACTTGTTTTCTTAAATAGCCAGCCTCGCCTTTTGACTATATTTTAAATTAAAATATTTAAGGAATTTTTAAGTTGCAGCTTCTTCGGCATATGTACATGAATGTTTTTTGATTTTTATCTTCGTCAAATTGATACAACTATTCCATATTTTAATACATAATTCATCTAGATAGATTCATGTAGTGCCGATTTACAATTTTGTTTTGTTTACATGTTTCTTTAAATTAATTCTGTAATGCTTGAAGTTAAGTTAAATTATAATTAAGATAATTTGATATAATTTTTTGATGCCGTGAGGAGCGATCAAGAATGAGGTGGTTTAGAAAAACACCCAAAAAATGCAATTTAAGATGTAAATGTGAATTTTGAACCAGGTATTTCATACTCACATAAAGTGTGGTGCTATTATTTAAGGATAGGGAAAAAAGAGGCGGCCACAAGGCCTACTGCGCCTCGACCTGTATAGATCTATTGTGCTCCCCTGTTTTTTATAGCTCACTGGCCACTCAGGTTATTAACCAGTCTCCACAGCTTTGCCAGCGGTTCCTTGGTGTAGGGTCTTGCTTGTCGTTCTTCTTGTCCTAGTTGCAAGAACCTGCACCTACATAGACCTTCATAGACCTTCACAGAAACCTAAAATGTTTTCTGCGGTCTCATCCTCTTCCTGACAGTATCTGCACAGTGTTTCTTCTGTCCGTACTATCTGGTGCATGTGCCTTCTAAAGTGACAGTGCCCTGTCAGGAGTCCAACAAGGATCCTGGTTCGGTTGCGGTTGCCTTCTAGTATTTTTTTTTAGTTTTGCTGATGGTCCTTCTATGAATTTTTTTGCGTGCCTCATACCTGTCGTTCCAAGAGGTTTTGGATTCTTTAAGGATCCATTTTAAGATGTATCCTCTTTTATAGCAGGCTGCTATGCCGCAGTAGGTTCTGGGCCCAGAGATTCCATGTTAGTCCCTTTTTGGCCAACATGTCAATCTTTTCGTTGCCTCTATGCCCCGAATGTCAAGGGGCCCATGCCAAGGTCATTCGTGTCACTGACTTCCATCAGGCTATTCTTTAAGTTTTCAAAATTTATATTTACATCTTAAATTGTATTTTTTCCAATTAACATATGTTTTGAAATTTACCCTGGCCCCGAAGATGACCCCCGATAAAGGTTGAATCGTCGGCAGAAAAAAATGAAAAAGGTGTTTTTCTAAACTCCCTCATCCTTGACCGCTCCTCACGACTTCAACAAATTATGAAACAACAGGTCACTAAGAAACACGCATAATTTGATATGTTGTAAAGTAATCAATTTTCAAATGTAACTTGTAAAATTTTGTTCCATGTAAAAGTCTTATTCGTACAACATAATTAAAATGAAATTGCGCATTATAAAACACGCTTAGACTGAAAGGAAGACAATACGTATTTCATAAGATCATCGGCCATTTACACAGAGAACGCAATCTTAAAAATAAAATCGCCCCTCCGGCGATGAAACCGTCGCTTCATCTGTGTCTGATGTCAGGTTAAAAATTTGAGCGCTTATATCGAAAATACCGTTGTCAATTGTTTTAAAAGTTATTTTAATGAGTAAGTGTCTAATTTAAGTCTTGGTACGGTGGCGGGTTCGGGGGCGGAGGCATCGTGTTGTCCGCTTCCATTGTCAGAGGGTCGTCTATGTGCGGCATCGAACCGCTGAGATCTTTTTCAAGAACGTCGGGTGTAAACGCTTCGGAATCCTTTCCATCCGTCTCTTCAGGCCATGATTCTTTAAACATGTTCGCAATCTGTAAATATAAAAGTTCTCATCAATTAATGTTGAACCATAAACAAAGAGAAGTTATTATTGCAACTATTACCATATAAAACGATACCAAATTGCTCAAAAATGAATAGAGATATTGCCAATTTGTAGTATTTGACTATGTACGCTACATTCTTTCATTACTATTATAAATTGCATTAACGTTTATTATAAATTATTAGGTTTTTTATTGAAGGATGAAAATAAAATATTTTATTTCCTTAATTTTGTGTGTTGGACATAATAATTTTGTTTAACAATTAATACCGTGTATAAGGTTCTTTGTTAGCTAAAACCTCCATGCACCTGTTAGGCATAAGGTTGTCACTAATCTCATAAAGAACTCCATGGGTGTTGCAACGCTGCACCTCAGTTTTTGCATGTCAACTGGCTGCGGATGAGATTGAAAAGCCTTCTATGCATCCAAAATCCCTACAATTGAGATCCCTGGTTTGATAGATGTATTCCTCGATAATTTCTTGGACATAACATACTGCGGTGAGGTTGTCTTCAACAATATTGAGTCCAGCTCTTCCTCCAGGGTAAATCTCAGCCCAGATCACCACCTCCTGCAAACTGCACTGAAGGGGCACGCGAACTGGGGGATTGTACGCAGCTCCTGTTCTCGGTAGACTTTTCGGCGCCTTCTATCACTGTACTGTTAGAAAAACGTCACTTAAGTAAACATGACAGCATTCCATTTGTGTTCTCTTCTAGCCGTTCGCTGCACCACATTCTCCAGAGTTGCTGGGAGCGGGCTGTTGATGCAGTCTCAAAGGTGTATACGATGTGAGGCCCACACGTGTTGATAATGACCTTTCCAAAACGTCTTGTAGTTCATTTATGATCTGGCTGGCACTATGGAAAAAGGTTGCAGCAATGACAATATTGGCACTTCCAGTCTCTCGGAATCGGGCTAAAGCACGAGAGACCACGCTCAGAAAAACGCCAACTGCCTCTGTGATATCCAATTGCCGGTGACTCTTTCTCACAATAATATTACGAACTTCTGGTTCAAGATGATGTCTTTCCATTGTTAAAGATAAATCAACTGGATTAAAATGGAGAAAAGATGAGAAAAGTTGTTTGTTTACAAAATGAGAAATCTTCATAATTACTATTCTTAAGTAAATCCGTTATTAAAAATGATGATTAACATTTGTTTCTTTTTGTTTTGTATTTTCTATTTTGTTTTATCCGATTAACAAGAATATATCGATTAATTTAATTGAAATCAATAGAATAAGAATAAATTATAAATACCCCTATTCATTTTTGAACAGTTTATTTTAAAAAAACTCCAATGTTAATAAATTAAAATCATTTATAAAACAGTGTTTGGCACTGGCACTTAATTTATAAGATTAAAGTGGTGGTTTCAAGGAAATCGTTGTTTAAAGCGGCTTAAGAATATTGACGTGAAAACGGTGGTAAGGATAGATCGATTAGGTAGGCAGTACAGAAAGCAAGTTGACAAAAGGAATCTTCAGGTCATAGTGGGAAGTGAGATTATGGAACTACTAGGTGCCTAGGTAAAACTCTGTATAAAACTAAAAGTAACTAGAAGAAAGAGGTAGCTCTTTGTTGATTTGGCACTGTTGAGGGACTTGGGTAATATATTATATATACAGGGTGTCCCAGTTCCTTCTGACGAAACTCAGGAAATCGATTCTACTCTTCGTGTGGAGCAAAAAATGCTCAGAAGAAAATTTATATAGACTNACCTTTCTATTTTTTCCTTTTTGCTTCCCGTGGCCACTTCATATGTCGCCGAGAATCAAATCCTGATTACACGACAGTTGAAAAATGGCAAAAAGGAGGGAATTTATATATATATATATATATATATTATGCAGGGTGGGCGACCAAGACCCGAGGGGTTAAATGCCTGGGTAGACTCGTACCCCATCCCTGAAAGGTCCGGGACATGGTCGGCTCACGTGTCCTGCATAAATCTTTTGGACTTGTTCACAAACCCCAAGATTTTGGACCATTTTATCTCGGGGAGTGATTTGGTGATGTCCGCTCCTTCAAAGATATCAAATCTGGACCTAACAACTTGGAACATACATGGTGACATGTAATACTTTGTGACTTAGAACATTAATCCTGTAGTAAGTATCCTCCAGTAAGTCGTACTCGAGTCAAAATCGGTAGCTACTTATTGATGAACAATGGAAAGCAGGAAACCAACCTGGAGATGGCTGATAGTCTAGATATAGTAGAAATGAGAAATGATGGAGTGAGTGTGGTGTTCAATACTCTTTAAAAGGATAGTTCCTACTCACAGTAAGTTGTTTTGCAACGATCCGGATTTCGAGCCTTTTAGCTCATCATCAGGTTGAAGGACTTCTACAACCACGTCTCTCGACATGAATTGCCAAAGTGAACCGCTGATACCTCCGCCAACGCAACGTTCCAATTATCAGCTGATTTTTTTAATGACGCTCAATTTGAACGTGCGAAACGCGGAAATTATAACACAAATAAATATTAGAATAATAAATACTTAATATTACTATAAATTACTATAAAAATAATAACAATTAAAATAAGTAGATTAATTATTTGGATGTTTGATATGATTTATGTACATATTTAAAATGGGACGTAGATCAAAATCTGTTAAATGCATTAATAATATAATAAGATAATATCGGAAGCTATTTGGTGGTGATATATAATAGAGAAGACATTAGGAAGCGGGAGAAGACATTAGTGTATAGAGAGGTTATTGAGATAAAAAGCAACTTCCGTTAAGCTGGTGCCTTGGGTCTACTGTCTTGGTGTAGTCCTAAGTTCCGTAATAGTTTGATAGATCCTTCATATTGATGAACACTGGGAAGCCAAAGAACTTGAACCTTAGGAAGCGGTAAGATAAATTCGTTGCTAAAAAGAAAGGTCAGGTTATTGTAGATAATGAGGTTATTCGTCGAAGCGGGAACGGATCAGTTGGCTGACAGAAGGAATGATAAGTTCATACAGAATAGAGAGGTTATTAAGCTAAAAAGAAACTTCCGTTAAGATAGTGTCTTGGGTGAAACTACTGTCTTGGTATAGTCCTAAGTACCATTATAGTTCGAGATTGATTGATGAACACTGGAAGTCAAGGAACTTGACCTTTAGGAAGCGGTAAGGTAAATTCGTTGCTAAAACAAACGTTCAAGAAGTGTAAATAATGAGGTTATTCGACGTACTGCGTAACGAAAAATCTTTATTCTTACGAATCTTCTTGGGGAGGAGGTCGGTAGTTCCTTGTTGTTGTTTTTGGAATATTAATATTAACTAAAGAAAAGTTTAGGTCGTTGAGGATGAAGAGGTGATGCGGAGTCTGTTGTTGAAGAACAAGTTATTTGTGAACTTCGGATTGTATAGATCTAATCTCCGTTTATAACAGCTCTTGCTGAAGCAGCAGCCAATTAAAAGTAATCCAGGATTAAAGGAGTAGTGGGAAGTGCCTATAGAGTATTCCTGGGCCCACAGAGAACTGGACCATAGATGGAAAACCTTGCTGGGTTGTGAAATAATTTAAAATTAACTGATTTAAAATAAACTTGTGTTACTTTACCGATGGTAAAGGATCGTCGATTAAATTTTCCGTCGACCTCGGGCTCGGCGAGTTGCCGTCCCTTTCTCTGTTTCTCGCCTTCGCGAGCAGCCTGTTCTCTCTCTCCCGCTCGTACTGCCTCGCGCTGAAACTCCTCGTCGACGATGTGCTGCTGTGCACAGATGCTGCGATTCGGCATTAGAAACACAACATAAAATTAGATTCAGACTGAAGGAGAAAGAAAAATCGCATTAAAAGTGGATTTGAGTAAGCTTGTTGTGTTGAAGGTAGCATGGCGCTTCTTTAAATGCGGTGGGCTGATAATAAAATAAAAATACATCGATTAGTGAGAAAACATGCCTAAGTAAAATTTTCGAAATAAAATGTGCGGCAATTGTTCAGTTCCAATCTTTTACTTGATAGCTGAATTCGACGGCATCGACATTTAATCTATGTTGAAAGAGGAAATTCTTTGTCTGAAAAAGACTGATAATGTAACATCTTTTCATATATTGAAACATGGAAATAAAATTACTCTATATCATCAGATTTAAGATATATTTCACAAAAACTATAACATACTGCTGTTATTATATCATTTTCAAATTGTACTTAAGGAGGACCGAAGCGTTCGAACGTACCAACACTCTTCAGCCAAAATCAAATTGTATTGGGTTGATCATTAAAAACGATTTGAGGTATTTCCTTCCATATTTTTTAAAAATTGATTTCGATTCATGAACACATGGGATCAACGATTTTAACGAACCTTTTTCTGGTGATACCAGGTCGAAAAAGTTTCGACTCATAGCTTTCTTACCTAGGAGCCCAAAAAAAAAGAAGTAAATTACATAATTTTATTTAAAACATTGTTTTCTGCTTTTCATGTTTCAATTGTATTATGCAGGGTGTCCCGTGACAGTATCAGTATATCAAGAGATCATCCTGCATATCAAATTGGACTAAAAAGTCCATATTTTCATAAGCACTATTGTCAATCTATTCGATATTTTTCACTTTTACTAACAACTTCATTCCTCTGTATCTCATAAGTATGATTCCTACTTTAAAATGGATTACACCAATGGAAAGAGCATAAAAAAGCCTGTGAGTTTATATATACACTTTTTTGTATTTATCTATATATTTTTAGATTGTGATGAGCCAAGAAACAAATATCTTCCACAAATAAATACATAAATGATAACTAATATGTTTATGTACGGTCTTGGTTGAGATAAAAAAAATCAGTGTCACGAGCGGGATTCGAACCCACGACCTTCGGCTCAATACGCCGCTGCTCTAACCACTTGAGCTATCGTGACTTCGATCCACTCGGACACCAACTCCCCACCTCAACCTACAACCTTTCTATTTTTTCCTTTTTGCTTCCCGTGGCCACTTCATATGTCGCCGAGAATCAAATCCTGATTACACGACAGTTGAAAAATGGCAAAAAGGAAAGAAAATTCGAAAGGTTGTAGGTTGAGAAGTGGTTAGGGCAACGGCGAATTGAGCCGAAGGTTGTGGATTCGAATCCCGCTCGTGACACTTTTTCATTTCAACCGAAAACTTTACACAAACAGGTTAATTAATTGAAAGATTGGTCTGTCACTCAGACCACTAAATATAATGGTTTTAATAAATGATGAGGCAACTAACGTAGTAAAGGAAATAAAACAAAGATTTTGGTAAGAAACTAAGTCGATATTCTTTCTTTGCGTTCCCAAAAAAACCCTGAATACAAATAGTTGGGGGAGATAAAAAAATATCATTTTCCAATTTTTCGCCGTTCAAATCTGTGATTTTTTCGCAAATGTCAAATAATTGTGACAACTATGAAATGAACAGAAACTTTAAACAGATACTTTAAAGGGGCTTAGAAGCCTATAAACCACAAGCAATGGCACAAACATTTTGTCCGTTAACAAATTAAAACTAGAGATATAAAATAAAACGTTTTGAGAGGTTTTTATCGAATTTATGCTAATCTTTGACATTATATTTAAATAAAACCTAAAATTTGCTCACCTAGCCTTAAAAAAAGCAATCCAAATTTCCAACGGGTGTACAAAAGATGAATTTAGATAAAATCCAGAGAAACCATGAATATTAACATAAGACCTCAGAGACAACGAAATAGACCCCGGCTAACCCAGCACAAAACTTATTTTTTTGTTTTAGAAAAGGTTAGAACAAACTTGAAACGATTTTTTTTTTTCAAAAACTATTTTCTAATCTACTTTACTTGCAATTTCTTTTGGTTTTTGTAACTATCTGTATGTTTAATCTTATATATTACATGTTGAATATTATTTTATTATCGTAGGTAAAAAGCAAGTCGACTGTTATATAATACCTTGAAATACATGCAAAACAACGACAGAAAAAAAATATTTTGATCGTTGGGTTGGGAATTTCCTAAGCACCGCAGCCTTTTGGCTTATTGTGCTTCTTCTATGCCCTTAGTTCTGTTCAATTTAGTCGATTCTTATTATAAGTAGTCGAACATTGACTGTCAATGTTGCTGTTTTTACTGGGTCTTCTTGGTACTCTAGGCTACGTCGCATTCAAAGATGATATGGGTGGTAGTTTCATTCACCTCATGGTATAACCTACAAATAGGTTCATGGTTGAATAAACCAGCAGATGTTTTCTCAAATGCCAATCTTGACTTTAACCTTTTTAGTTTAATATCTGGCACGTCGTAAGTTGGTCAATTTCTTCGTTTGTTTTGTATGGACACATTCTGAAATGAAGGAGTTGGATCTTGTACTCCTAAGTATCTAGATTTATAAACGGTCTTGCAAATCCTTCTCTGGCCAGACTGCTTGTTCATTGTCATGAAATGATTCATCTAACGAGTATTTTGTTATCAGTGCAACCTCTTTCAAGATTTTATAAAATACAAAAATGATAAAATGTAATTCATTTTGAAAGACCGAGGTTTGTATCTGTACATCATACAGTTGTAATTGATTTATTCTGATATCTTTTTTCCATTTGTAGTCTGTTAAGATTGTACAGGATGTTGCAAGGATAATATGTAATCAGTTCCTATTTCTAAGAATGGTTGTCTGATATTATTTTACATTGTTTTATGCCCGATATGTACAGTTTCCAAGTTCAACCAAATTTTTTTTTGCTTATGCTTTAAATCAATCCATTTTTTCGCGAGGTAATGTGATTTGGTTTTGACCACACTTTATTAATCTAATATCAATAATCAATAATGCTAGGTTAAAAACAAAACTGATATTTAATTCATAAAATTCATACACCAAAAAAAGACAGAAAACTTTATTTTAAAAAACAATGAAATTAGCTTTTAAAAAAATGTCTTGTCTCCTAGGGCCCCTTTTTGATTTAGTGTAAACGAAAAACGCTTCATTAAAATCTGTGATCTCACGTCTCTACCTTGTAGGTACAAGAAACGTTCCATTTTGTTCATATTTTAAATATCGACAAAATAAAAATATCACAGTTTTCTGGAGGAGAAAAACAAACGTTCAAAATACTGAAATTTGGTATAAATTAAAAATCGATGCATTTTTGTAAATCTAAACAATTTTGAGAATATTGCGAGTTAAGTTATGCGTGTCTGCTCAACGACTTTGCCAAATATTTGCATTTGTATAAAAGCATGCTACCATCATTGTGTCGAAATAAGTATTTTCCTTTTGTAATATCAAATAGGTATGTACATATTTGATTGTATCTAATAAAACATTACTTTCATGTACTGGCTACTGATGTTGCATGGCGTTTAAGCCCAAGATTTACAAAAAAGGTGTTCAAGACCAATATAGTGCAGGAAACACAAGGATGAAAATATGTGGTATTGGTTTGTTTTTTCATGTCTACGATCCATATAAGTATTAAATATCATATAATAATATGTAAATTAAAATACCTTATATTACTACTTACTACACTAAGCGAACGTGTACCAAATATTATCTACCTAGAGTTAAGTCCAGCAGCTTAGTTTGCATGCAAGCCCACGATTTGACCAAACGTTTGAATAAAGAAAAATTTAAAGAACAGGCAATCCATATCGGGGTGGTGTGCACTTTATGTATAAATCGTGAACTTGAACACAAAATAGAAAACTTGAATAATAAAATTATTTTAAATAAAGCTACGTTTTAAAACTAACAATGGTGTTGCAGCGGCTAAAGGAGCTATAGATCAATTGTTCTGTAATCTACTTTGGCTACATTTGTTTCGGTCTCACCACGACCACCTTGCTGTTCCATGAGCCCTGTCATCTTCAACTGCCTCGTTTTATATTCACAAGCCATACCAATTATTCCGCCCCTAAAATACGACCTAAAAACACTAGCAAAGAGTGGCGATTCGTCCTGATGTCAAAAAAAAAAATCCAGTCTGTTTTCATTCTGATCTAATATTTTATCTACCGTTCAAACGTTTCAACAACCCTATCGTGATTTTATAATGTAGGAAAAACAACGTGACTGTATGCTTTTGTCAGTTGATCCAACCGAATCCATTTTAGTTACAAAATCAAAACTTATCAGTGTGTTTGTTTGTTTATGTGTGTGTGTGTGTGTGTAGGAAAATCATAGAGGTTAGAGGCGCTATTAAAAATAAAAAAGAGAAAATGCTTATTTTCATTTTTTATTGCGCCATTTGTATTATTAACTAATCATTTTTCTAATATAGTTAAAATTTTACAATCCTATTTCCTTTCATTCCCGTTCTAGATATTAATAATAAAATTTACTTGCACTTTTGTTTTTTATTCTTGATAATTAAATATCAGAGAAGTCTAATTGATGGCTTCTAATTAAAAATTAAATACAAATATAAAAATGACTGAAATAAAGCACGAATTTAGGATAATTTTAAGAAATTTTTTGAAAACGAGGTTCACTGCCTGTCAAAAATGAAAAATTCACTGCGAAAAAACCCCAATGTGCCTATAGCCAGGAACACACTTACCCGATGCTACGCCATGCGATGCTACCCGACGCCTTGCCACGTTTTGGTGGGGTGTGCACATCTATCCGACGCAAGCCCACGTCGCGTGCAGTCTACAGCGTTTATCACAATAATCACTATCACAATCGCAACGCATCTTTTGTTCTGAATGCACTATTTTGAGCAAAACCTTGTAATAAATTGTTAGTTAAATTTTATGAGCACAACCATCTAATAAATTGTTTGTTAAACTTAATTGTTTTAAATAAAGTTACTCCTAACCATCATAATTAAACAATGTTTATAAAAACTTATGCATTTTTGATCTCGTTTAATTTGGTTTACATTAAAATAACATGTTGTAATTAATATAACGACAAAATTACATGTACTTAGTTTGAAATAAACTACAAAAAATATGAGTGTCCTGTTCTGATGCTACCCGACATTACAAAATGGTGTAATTTTACGAGCAAAACTATGAAATAAATTGTTAATTAAATTTTATGAGCAAAACCGTGTAATAAATTGTTCCAATTTTAGTATATGTACCGCCGAAGCGAGTACAATAAATTGTTAGTTAAATTCATTATATCAAAAAATCGTATTCCGGTGTTTTGATTAATTTTCTACCAAACCATTAAAATTAATTTTTTAAATAAAAACTAATTAATTTTTAATCACAGTTAATTTGGTTTATATTAAAATAAGTATGTTGTAATTAATATAACGACAATAATACATGTAGTTTGAATAAAAATGTGAGTGTCCGGTTCTTTTGTCTTCGACTGTACTCGATGCGACCCGACGAAAATCTGGACAGTGGGGATTGCAAAGCGTCGGGTAGATGTGCACGAGGGTAATGCAACCTTATGGAAAATCGGAGTTTGGATTTGCGTCGGGTAGCATCGGGTAGATGTGCACGGGGGTAATGCAACCTTATGGAAAATCGGAGTTTGGATTTGCGTCGGGTAGCATCGGGTAGCGGCGCATGACGTAAGTCACGCTCGGGCGTTACGATATTGCGGCATGGCGTCTAAATTTATCGCGCCATTTTTATTATTAATTTATTATTTTTTCTAATTTCGTTAAAATTGTACAATCTTTTTCCTTTTATACCTATTCATAAAATTAATAATACAAATTTCTTTGCACCTTTGCCTTTTATTTTTGATTATTAAGGATCCTGAGAAGAGTAATCGATGCTTTCTAATAAAAAAAATTATAAAAATTATAAAAATGACCGAATTCAATGTAGATAATTTTAAGAAATTTTTTGAAAAAGAGGTTCACTGCATGTCAAAAATGAAAAGTTCAAGCTTTTAAGAAATGTTTTGAAAAAGAGGTTCACTGCATGTCAAAAATGAAAAGTTCAAGCGAAACAAACCCCAACTCGCCTATGTCAGCTCGGGCGTTACGATATTGCGGCATGGCGTCCAGATACGACACATATGGTGTTGCTTAGCGCTATTCAATTTTTGTGGCGGTTGTACATAGAAAATCGCCGTCAGAAAGATGGGTCCAAGTCCAAGAAATTGAAACTTCAATGATTAACTCCGAGAATTCTTTATGCTTTAGAATGCTTATAAAACGCACAGATAAACTAGCAATGTGAACAATCTGCGTTGGCCCTTTTGTAACGATTTTTTAATTAATTATGTCGAGCACATTTAACCGAAAGTTATTGACTACACGATAGTAATTTGATCAATTTCAGGTGCCAACAACCACACGGATATATAAAATAATTGCTTCTACAACAAATAAATCAACTTAATTGAACCATTTTAGGACAAAATACGAATCAATAGAAAGAAATAGGTTAAATGTCTTATTACGTCGTACCTGGTATGTTCACAACTCCTAAAATATTTTTTTAATAAAAATTAATTCAAGCCAGAATAGAGAGAAAAACTAGATTCGCTTCCAGAGAGTACTTGTTTTAAAAAAGCCCAAACTTATAAAATTATTTATCAAAACAATTGCTTTAAGACAGAAATGCATATTAAAGACAGGAGGATAAAGAATCGCCAAATCCATCACCTACAGTGGAATGAACATATACTAAACTAATTGTTCACCGGGGATTCACTGGTGTACCACATCGAGAGAGTCAAAGCGGAGTCATACAAACATAATTGACAAAATTATCATAGAGGCGTAATAATAAATAGTAAAGACTGGTGTGTAGGATGTGAAATGACCTCTGCGAGTGTGGTTACCATGTGAGGGGGACAGGTGGCATGAGATAAGCAAGATGGCCGCCGCCCTTGCTGCACCTGCTCTTGATGAAGGCACCAGGACGCCTCGGCTCCCCCGCGTGAATCCGCCCCGGAGGACCGAAACTCCAGTCATCCCTGAAAATAAATTAAATAAAATGACAACTTTCTCGTCAATCGATAAAATAGCCAAGTTGTGGCGCCAGTAGGATAAAATCACAGATATAAAAGTTTGAGAAGTTCAGGAGAGAAATGAAAACAAAATAATAACAACCTGCTTAAGAAACACAACATATCATCTTCAAAATAACAACATAGCTACTGCGCATAAATATCCGTTAGTTTGTTATTATCTAATAAAGTATCAATGCATCCTTTTAATTATTTGAACAAATTAAAATATACACAATATTTTGGAAAGTCATAAGAACATCAAAAACAGAATGCCTTACATGTAAGTTAAAACTCACTGGTCGTTATATTTTCTTTTTTTTTCTATTTTTTACATTCTTTTTATAAATAACTACATGCTAATCAATAGCACGTAAATTATAAATATTAAAGAAAATAATTTAATAGGAGATACTCGAAATTGTGGTCTAAAAAATTAGTGATAAGAAGTGAAAAAAGTTAAGTTTAAATGAAGAAACAGGATTTGAAAAATCCTAAATGATATTACTATAGTGTCATCCATCATCTCATACAAACTACAAATGGTAACGAAAAATATAACAAAGAAAAGCAAGGAAACAAATACAAAAGTCCATAGATTAGCAAAGTTTACAATCTGTTACTACTAACACCCAAATTCAATCACGCAATCAGTCTGTCTTTCTCTCTCTCAAACTCTCTCTTTCTTTCCCCCTCCCTCTCACTCATTCTCCTTTCTCTCTCTCTCTCTCTCTCTCTCTCTCTCTCTCTCTCTCTCTCTCTCTCTCTCTCTAACATAAACTCTTTTATATATTTTGTCTCTCTTTTTTTTACGCACTCTCTCTAACTATCTACGTCTCTTTCTCTATTTTCCCCTTTCTATCTCCCTCTTTCTAAGACGCTCTCTCGTACTCTATTGTCTTGTTCCATCTTTCTTTCTAGATTAGATTATAAAGATGCCGGCCTTTTTACGACCTGTGCAAAGCGACCAGTATTGGCATATTGTGTATTTATCTTTCTCTCCCACTCACTCTCTCTCTATTTCTCTTTCTTGCTTTGTATATCCTGTCCTCTCTAACACATTCTTTCCTAGTCTTTTTTTATTCCATTTCAAAAAACATTAATTTGTTGATCGTAAGAGTGGTCAAAATACATCTAATTCTGGGAATATAAATGATTCCCTCTCTTCCTCACTCTCACACCATAAATATCTCTATATATCTACCTATCCGTCTATCTATGTATCAATGCATTTATTATAGTTTTCTCTAGACCTTATTCTCCATTTTTCTTTTTTTTATCTTTAGATATAATGTCCGTTTCGATGTGCCTCTTGACGTGGATTGACACTACTTAAAAAGCACATGAAAATAGACATATATCTACTAAAATAGTACAACTTCAAATCAAAAAAGACCAAATTGGCATTTATTTTTCTGTACGAATAAATAAATATATATATATTTATTTATTTATTTATTTATTCTGTTCATTTATGTTTTTACAGTTTATTAATGTATTTGTATATCTGTTTCGCTATATATATCTTTCAGGAAAAATATTTTTTTTCTCTGTTATTGGCAAATAGAAATGTTTTTCTTATTATCCATAGCAACGGACGTTCAGTGCAGACTTTTTTTTCTCAGTCGAAATCGTTTTTGTACAACTCTACTCCAAAGAGGATCCCTTTTTTTCAAATCGTTCGTCCCAGATGTGTTTCATGTCTCGGTTCACAGTTGTCTTCAATGTTTTCGTTTATAGACTTTGAATGGATTATAGTAGAGGCTTCGGTTTTCTTATATTTTGTTTTAGTTGCTTCTATGACGTTATCGTACCATGTTTGTTCGTCTCTTGTGGTATTTTGTACAGCGATAACTCTGAAACTTGACTAAAACAAAATCGCTAGTTCGAACTTTGAAAATTATTTTGTTTTGATAATTTATATTTTTGTAACTAATCAACATTTAGTAAAGTGTGGTAAATCTTATAACTATTTTGAGCTAAAACGCTTTTTGTATTTAATTGTATTGCGCCATGATGAATCATTTTTATTCTATCGAAACCATGGATTGGAAATTTACAAATGTTATAGCTTATTTCTGTTATTTAATGAATACTTTGCTTTCTAGACAAATTTTTAGCAGGATAAAAAAAATACTGAACTAATATTTTTCATTTTTTAAACTGTTCACATAATATGCCAGTGCAAAAGTTCCTAAGGTTTTAGGTAAATATAAACGTTTTTATGAAATTACACAGCTGCAACAGCATAAGCTCTGATATCAAAGCAGTTAAACAAAGTTTAAAAATCAACAAAAGGTAACAATGAAATTTAAAACGCTACATCCATGAGCTCTATCTACTATCACGCTAGATTATTTTTAATTAAGTTTTTAAAGTTCATAGCAAACTACCATATATAAAAACTTTAATAAAGCAAATTTTACTTCACAAAAATTAAACTTATCATATTACAACAAAGTTTCAAGTTGGTTAGCAATTTCTTTCTTGCTATTTATTTAAAGGAAATTCGTATTCTCTCTTCCAAAGTGTAATTGTAACAGAATTACTTTTCCATAAATGAAATAAAATTATAGAAGGCAGGAAACGTTTCGCATTGTAAAACGCACAATTCCGACAGACCATCCAGGGACAATGTCTGCCATCCGGGTAAAGCGGCACATTCGTCAAAATGAATAATATAACAACAATTCGTAACGTTTTACCCTTTCTCTTTCGCAGAACCCAACCCGGTGGTAAAATGTCGGATAAAGTCGCCTTTGAAGGACCGATCAGGGAAAAAATCAGATAAGTCAGTCGGATTACCTCAGGCTGCCTAATTAACGGCTAATTTTACAGCTTCCTCTAGTCAACAGGTGAATTTTAGCGACCGATTAATTATCGGGTGGAACCATTTTTCATGCGGTGCTGCCCCTTTTTGTCCTACTCTTCTTAATTTAGGACGATTTCTTGCTTTTAATTGCACCTTTTAAAGCTAAAGTGAATTATAGAAGGATTTTGATTCCACAAAATTAAGAAATTATGAAATGAAAGGATAAATAAATTTTGCTTTATTAATAAAAACGTTATTTTATCTAGAAATTCTCAGCAAAACGAACAGTACTGTATCTTTGTAGGCAATGCAAAATTACATCAAAAGATACGTAATTATTAAATAAAAAATTGTTTTATGATGTTGAAATATGGGTAAATAAGTATATTTAATTCAATAATATATATGTATATATATTACTTTATCTAAGTATTGTTGAATTAAATAATGACCATTCAGTTAGGAAAGTATTAAAACAAATAGATGTTCCTTCTAGATCATTAATATAACTGACAGGCAAAATATTCCTCTCAATGGATTTTTTCTCGATAAAAGAAAATTCTGACCTTTATTTGTCTCAGTGTTTTTTTCAATGAATGTTTGTTTATGCTTTCTTTTAAATTGGGAATATCAATTAGCGTTAAACACACCTAATCCTTAACATAAAACAAGGATAAAGGATTTTTCAATGCTTACATTTTACGGAATTCAAAATATTAAAATTTAAAATCACTGACAATCCTTATCTAATGCACGATAATGCATCCGCCCGTCCACACGTCGCTCGCATAGCACGAACATACCTTCAACAGCATAAGATCTGGGTCTTAGCCTGGCCAGCCCGTTCTCCCAGACCTGATCCCCCTCTAACATTTATTGTATAACCACAAAATACGAATAAGAGCACGTTCATCACTTCCTGATACACTACACGATCTTGAAAAGTTATTCGTGAAGAATGGGCTTACCTCCAGCAAAGAGACATTTCCAGAATGGAGGAAAGTATGCCGAGGTGTCTCCAAGATCTAATTAAAGGAGGAAATACGTTTATTGAAATTATATTTAAAAATCTAAAAAAATTAAAACAAATTATTTCTGACCGTCTTTTTTCATTTTCCTTAGCAATTTACATTCTTTCTTACTTTTCTGAACAAAAACTGAATTATTGCGTTCAAAAACGTGAAAATTTGATTAATATTTAAAAATATATACAAATCAAATTATATATTAGTGGGTGGAATTTGCTGCCTGCCAGTGTATATCATACAATACAATCACAAATTCATATAGGCACGCCAACAAAATAATTGATTATTCTACTTTCCCGTCTGGTTCACTCATAACCTGGTATTTCACCTGTTGGTATTTCAAAAACCTGCAGCTACTAGACTGTACAAATTTACGCTAAGTTCTAGCGACTAAAAGTAATTTTCGGGTTTAAGAACGTAGTGGGGGACCGCGGTAGCTGAGTGGTTAGCATGAGAGACTCTCACGCCGCCGCGGTCGTGGGTTCGATTCCCACCGTCGCCTCTGGCCCTTTTTTCACAATAACCCTATTGAAAACACATATAAGAATTGTCACATGGCTAATATGCATAGTTCATAACGCCAAAAAAAAAAAAAAAAAAAAAAAAAAAAAAAAAAAAAAAAAAAAAAACAAGAACGTAGTGTAAATGATTTACAAAACATGTACACTCTGACTATATGCATAATATTAAAACATTGATTAGAAATACCGGTAGGATAAATAAATTTTGGGACTATTGCAACGTCTTAAATAAGTCCAATTTTTGTCCCGATAAAATATTTTTGAATAATTTAAAAGCCTCTGATTATGAATATAAACCTTATTCCCTTGTATAAATCTATTTACAACTGTTACTCTTGAATAAGTATTAAGGATGCTCTTGTCTGTTATGTTAAATAAACGTGAAGGATCAGATGGGATACATAATAAAATATTAAAATCTTGTATACTTGCTATTGCAGGAAAGAAATTTTCCTTATTTACTTAAAAATAGTTATTTATCTCCGGTTTTTAAAAGAGGTAATAAAAATGTATATTTGTAATTATAGATAAATTGTATACAACGTGCTATGGGCAAAGTTTTTAAAAGTATCCTATTATATTCCTTAAACCCACAACTAAAAACGTCATTATTCCAAAGGAACATTGTTTTCATTCACAACGATATATATTAACCCA